AATATTTTAGTAAAGTGTTCTATATCTAGTGTCATTCAAGATTAAACAATCTATATCTAGTGTCATTCATGATTAAACAAATCATTATATTCGGTATATTGTTTGCCTATTTATGAAAACAAAATGTTTGAGGTGTCTTCTAAATTCGCATAATAATCTATAGTTTAAAAAAAAATCACGAAAGTTGAGAATTTTCCTTACCTTCTGTGACAACATTAATGACTTCAGAGGAATATATCAATCTTTTAGTCTCCACGTTGTCCCACACAGACACTCGGACTTGATAGGCCGTGTGTGGCTCGAGCTGGGTAATTGTCATCAACGGGATATCACCAACCTGGGAATTAGTAGGAATAAATAATGTTATGCTTATGTTTTTGATACATAACTTTGTTTGTTTGCTTGTTTCGGTTATTTGCGAAAGTTGAACTTATTAGCCACAAACTGACCATGAGAGTAACGTCTCCAGCCGATACAGTTTTACTTAGCCACAAATTGATCGCATGGAGTGACAATACATCCTATAAAACTTTAGGATCCAATAAACTCTAAGCAAACAATATAAGAGTGACAACCCAACCAATAGGACATCAAAATGCCAAACCGATTTCTGAACAATGACACTTTCTACACACATTTAATAGTTACGATTAATAATCTGGGAGTGACACCCAGACTTCTACACTATATAAAAGTTCCAAACTCACCATAAACAAGTAATATCATAACCTGTGCAACATCAGAGCTCACAAACTGATTATAAAGAAATATTTTAAGAAATACAAAACCACACACTGATCACATATTATACAAGTTACATCTCAGCCTATACAATCTTAGCTAACCAGAAAGTGCTCACAATTAAAATACGAAATCTTGACAACCCCACACTAATCGCATATTATAAAAAAAAAGTTACACATAAACCCAAATAATTTTGGGTTCCTGAGGGGTGAACAATAAACCTTAACTCTCAACTGTACAGTCAACCAAGGTTTGGTTGTCAGCCTACATTACTCCGTGGATCACACGTGCGGCCCTAAAACAGTGGCCCTTTAGGGGTCAACCTGAGGGCCTTCCTGTATCTTTATAAGATAACTTATCACAACAACATTAATGGCTTGCAACTGTTGATGCTGTCTATTAGTTACGACAGCAAACTGAGTCCAGGTGTATTACTGATAGAAAATTAAAGGATAAACTTTGGTTATATATTTTTTGTGTATTGCATTTTTAAAAATTCAGAAGAGAAAAGTAGAAGTCTGATGCTAAGTGTTCGCTATCGCAAGGAATAACGTTATAGTTTGTGCGTGAGTTTCGTATCACTGTTTAGTTTGCTACTGGTAAAGAAAAGTTGTAGCCCTTGAAGGGGGTTTCCCACCACTGAAGTATGTGTTCAGATATTACCAAACTCCGTTTTCATGAAAATATACAAGGATTCTGGAGCATAGTAAACATATAGTAATATACTTACTGTCCTATAAAAAATGGAAAAAAATATACCACGTAAAAGATGTTTTAATAATTCACAACGTTTCGGGCTGGGACGTCCTTCCTCTTGCAACGGTTCACGTGTATGTTAAATTTGTTGCATGATGTTAGTTTAGAACGTTCTATATTTGATAATCTTTGTGATAACAAACATTCTATTCCATTACAGTTTAAAATTACCAGAGGAAGGGCGTCCCAGACTGAGACGTTGTCAATATTAAAACATCTGTTTTCTTGGTATAAATTTCTTTTTTAAATTTTTGTTTTCGATTTCATCGTACCACAGCGGTTTTTTTAAGCTGGTATTTACTTGTTATCCTAGTTACACAAGAACTAATCAGAAACACGAATAAACAGATTTAACTGTAAACAATTGATCAAATACATGATAATTTATTAAAGGGCTGGATAATATAATGTGTTTTTTTGGGGGGAATGAAAAACTGGACAGTTCAATACTTGATACTTGCTTGATGATCATAATACTGTTATGCATTGTATAATGTGCTATATCACAATAGCACTGTGAATTCTTTGCATTTATGTTTTGTAGACAATATACAAAACGAACACTCCCATAACCTCTAAAACTTATGGGCGTGGTGCGACAGTGTTAGGCTTAAGAAATAGGTAGGACAACATGTTATCAGGGTTAAAATTTTGGGTCAAGACACACCCTACAGGGAGTATCCCCACCCATCCTTTTTTTTTTTGTTATGATGCTTTCCACTTCCTTAGTGCTTTTTTTTTTTTTTAACATTCCCGTTTCTTCGTGGCCAATGAACTAATTGTCACAAATGAAAATCCAGTTGAAATACTGCCACACTTAGAGTTTCTACAATTCCGTTTCATAACAAATCAGTTCTTATGGTGAGTTTTGCTAAACATTATTATTGTCAGTTTCATTTCTTACAAAATCGTTTAACGATGCAATGTGAAATTAACTTTTAAGTATAATAAAAAATATCCCGAAACTAAGCATCTGGAAGTGAGAATGAATAAACGATTATTCAGCAATGTTCGGTGAAGAAATACAAATTACAACTTTATTATGAGTAGTCTATCTTTATACGTTCGTAGATGAATTATTAAAGCCTGTTATAAAAAATATACATCTTCAAAATATATCAACATAACAAAGAAAAGGCGTAAACTGTCACATTTGCTTTTTTCACGAGAATTATTAGTTTCATTTATTTCTATACTTTTAAGCTAAGTTTAAAATGTGTAATTTTTTTAATTTTCGTACTTGTTTTGGCACCTGAATTTGGCTCCAGTTTTTCACGGTTTCTCCAGTTTTCTCCACTTTTCTGTATTCAACTACATATCCTGATTGAGAGTTGTTCATCTTGAAATCATCCCATGTTATTGTCAACGAAGTGGGGGCTCGCCGAGTCACAAATACCTTGGGATCGGATGTATCTACGATAAGAAAATTATTTGAGTGTATTATCCCCCACAAGTAAGTAAAAACTACAATACAATAGGTCGAGAACTTAATTAAATCTTGCTCTAAAACCTTACGTCTAGTTTGGAACTTACAGAATCAAAATGATAAATAGTGTAAATTGTCAGACCGAACTGTCAGATACAAAACAAATTAAGTATCCGGAAAGAATTAAAGACGCCAAATTGATTCATTAAAACACACAGTAAACTCCGGAAAGAATTAAAGACGCCAAATTGATTCATTAAAACACACAGTAAACTCATAAGTAAGATAAAGGAATGAAAATGTGTGTACTTATTTTAAAGTTGTATTTTTAGACAGGAAAAAAATAAAACATTTCCATGACCCGTCGCCCATGAGCATTTTGTTGCGAAACAACTGATAAAATAAACTAGTATAACGAAGTAAATACATTTGGTTAAATCACAATGTAATAAATTTATTTTTTGAATGGATTGAAGACAAAGCAATGGATGGTTTAAGAATTTTTTGTTTTGTTTTCAGTGAAGATAGATGTAATAAGTTCAGAGTAAGACAGATAACTGGACACTCGCTTGTAAACAAAATCAAGGAAGTAGTCTGAGCCGCGAGACAAAGTTGAAATAAAGCTTTCATTTATACTTTTTATATTTTAAGTACAGTTGTAGTAAAGTATTATATTGCACAACATTCATAACAATTTAATTTTCTTGTTGTTGTTGTTTCCTGCAGTCTGGTCTATTTTTTCGATAGTACAGTTGGAGACCTTAACAACAATAGAATGAATATTTTTTTTAATGATACATTTTCTTGAATAAACCTTTTTCTTTTCTTTTTTTTACATTTAAGTCTGTTTTTAAAATGTTATTACCTTTGCACTGATATTTTACACAACAAATATCGTCTTCATCTGGAATTTCCTCACACGAGGGGTCGCTCATGTATCCTGGACGAAAATGACAACGTTCGCGACATTCGGATTTATCGTTTTCCATGCAAGTACAGGTCTGATCACAAGCAACATGGTATGTCTCTCCAAGGCCGTAAGATGTCGCTTCATCAATGACACATCCAGCTGTTTGATATATATATGTATATATAATTATATTAAAGACAACATAGAAATATCGGTTGACTGGTTAGAAAAATGCATTTCTTGATATTTTATTTTCAAAACAAACTTATAGCCAAAGATCCTGGTGAGGAATTAAACATTTGGATGTGTTAAAGGACATAGTTAAGCAAAATAGGAAAATAACCTAATGTAGGAGAACATTTAAAACAGTTACGTACAGAGAAATGTGTCAACGCGCTCATGTAACAATATTTCAACCCCTATAATGAAGCTTCTGTGATTATTAAAAATGATTGATTCTAGCTCATTAATTAACATACTTCTGTATCATTATTCTTTTAAAAAACTGTTTGTAGAAATACACTTCTTTTAAATATTCAATCAAGACATCAGCCATTCAAATACAGCTCCATCCTTAAGACTAAGGGTTAAACGGGCAAGGAAATATTTATATGTTAAAGCAGTCGATTATAATCGCATAACAGGGACAAACTCGACTGTACACTTGGTTAATATAGAAACAGGTTCCTTGTTTTTCGTGTTTATCTAACAACGTGTTATTCCCGATTCGAGAACTTAATTAAAATCACATGAGCATTTAAGAAAAAGATGTCAATTTTCCTTTGGTATTGAACAAAATTATATTTCTTGGTTAAGCATCACTTCGTTACAGAGAATTGTCTTATAGAACAAAAAAAAAAAAGACTACAAGTTGTTACAAATAACGATACGTTTTTATTGATTTCTCAGACGGCTCCATGTTTTATCTCTTGTTATAAAACAGTGTTTAACTTATCCACGTAGATAGGCATTACATTTATTTTGCATTACTTTTACGTTGATCTTGCATTACAGTATTACCGAGAAATAATGAATTTTTATTTTTGCTTAATTATGTTGAACAATGTGTTTTCTTGCTGCCAATACTCATTGTTAAACATAATATTAATTTAACTCTTTTTCGATGCTATTTTTCTCCTTCACTAATACACTATTATCAGACAGTTTTACACTGCTGTGTAGCAAAGCTAAGAATAGGTAAAGTCGACACAGAAAACGGAACTATTATATTAGAATCTAGGACGAGGTTTGAAGTAGTTTTACCACTTCGTTTCTTTGCACATTTTCCAAAATCAGATTATTCTGTAAAACTATTTTTAAAAAATCGTTGTTTTATTATTTTATTTATTATAGAGGGCGTTCATACCTTCAATTCTCTCCTCAGTTTGTCACATTATGATTAAAAGAAAAATGCTTGTTTGTTTGTTTGTTTG